TATTTTATGCTTTGTAAATTATTTTTATATCCCACATTTTGTTGATCCTAAAACTCTCTTTTCCCATATTTTAACATTTATGAAATTAGGATGTGTCTCTTTCAGATGATGGGTTGTCAAAGTTTAATTGGCAATGTTTTTTCCTAGCAGCACATAAGATAATGATGTTTTATAATTGGTGGCATTTGGGTTCCATGAAGTATGATTAAAAAATTTTTTTAATGTTTATTCATCTTTGAGAGATGGAGAGACAGAGCTTTAGCTGGGGGAGGGGCAGAGAGGGGGGAGGGGCAGAGAGAGAGAGGGAGACAGAATCCAAAGCAGGCTCCAGGTTCTGAGCTGTCAGCACAGAGTCCGATGCGAGGCTCGAACTCACCAACTGTGAGATCATGACCTGAGCCAAAGTCGGATGCCCAACTGATTGAGCCACCAAGATGCCCTGTAGTATGATTTAAGTAGGCTCCATGCCAACATGGAGCCCAATGTGGGGCTTGAACTCACAACCCCGAATCAAGACCTGAGCTGAGATCAAGAGTTGGATGCTTAATTGACTGAGCCACCCAGGTGCCCCTGGATTGGTGCCTTTTATCAGTTCTGGAATTCTCAGCCATTGTCAGAACTTTTCTTCTTTCCTTTTCAGACTCCGATTAAACCTAGGTTAAAAGTTTTTATTTTCTCCTCGGTGTCTCTTAACCTCCCTTCTGTATTTTCCATTTTTTTCCTGTGCTGTGTTCTTCTGCCCTATCTTCTAGTCTATAAATTTTCTTCCTCACTTGTTTCTTCTCTTATAAACACAAACATTGAGTGCACTTGTGATGAGCACTGGGTGTTGTATGTAAGTGATGAATTACTAAGTTATTTCATCCATAAACAAACCTCAAAAATACTGAAAAAAAATAAACATAGGCATTGATTTTTTTTTTTTTTTTTGAGAGACAGGGAGTGCAAGTGAGCGAGGGGCAGAGGGAGAGAGAGAGAGAAGCGGGGCTCATCCGAAGCAGGGTTTGTGTTTGCCCTAAGCGGGGCTTGTGCTCACCTGAGCATAGGGATTGAATTTTTTAAAAACATTTCTTTTTCAACGTTTTTTATTTATTTTTGGGACAGAGAGAGACAGCGCATGAACGGGGGAGGGGCAGAGAGAGAGGGAGACACAGAATCGGAAACAGGCTCCAGGCTCCGAGCCATCAGCCCGGAGCCTGACGCGGGGCTCGAACTCACGGACCGCGAGATCGTGACGTGGCTGAAGTCGGACGCTTAACCGACTGCGCCACCCAGGCGCCCCAGGGATTGAATTTTTAATTTCAGTAATCATCTCTCTCATTTCCGCAAAAATTTTTAAGTTTTTATTTATGTATTTATTTTGAGAGAGAGAGAGAGAGTGTGTGCATGCAAGCAGGGGAGGGGCAGAGAGAGAGGGAGATAGTATCTCAAGGAGGCTCCTCACGGTCGGCGTGGAGCCCTACATGGGGCCTCCCATGAACCCTGAGATCATGACCTGAGCCAAAGTCCGACATTTAACCAACTGAGCTACCCAGGCTGAGCTGTCAGCACAGAGCCTGACGAGGGGTTCGAGATCATGACCTGAGCTGAAGTCAGAAGGCTCAACAGACTCACCCACCCAGGTGCCCCAACATACACATTGTTCTCAACAATTGTTTGTGGAGTTTCTTTGAGCCCTGGGGTCAAAGTACTTTCCTCCAGAGAGGATTTTCATTGACTTCTTCCAGGGGTTTTTGGGAAATACCAGTCTGGGGCCGCCTGAAAGCAAATTCACGACTTGACTTTCCTGGGGCCACTTCGGTGATGGGACTCCAAACTGCATATATATGTTAGGGCTGGCCTGTGGCCACAACTGTTCAAGGACAGTTCCCCCACTGCCTTTTCTGTTTAGCACCAAGGCCATCTTCCCTGTAGTCCTTTGGGGGAGGAGAAAAAGCTTGCTTCCTGTTCGTCTTTACCCTGAGGGTATTGGTTTTGAGCGGGGTGGGTGGTCTCAGAGCCTTCTTGCCTGGGAGGGCCCTCCTCGAGTTCTCTGCTCTTTATTCCAGGAGGCTACCCAAACTGTCTTTCCAAGTTCGCCCAGGTCAGATGTCCCCAGGACAAGAGCACCATCAATGCTCCCTCACGGAGGTTACCTCTCTGGCTTCCTGCTTTAGAATTTGACATGGCAGTTCTTTACTTTCTTGTCAGCTCACGTTTTGTTTTTGTTTTTAATTTAAAAGACTTTACTTTGGGGGCGCCTGGGTGGCTCAGTCAGTTAAGCATCCGACTTTGGCTCAGGTCATGATCTCACCGTTCACCAGTTCGCGCCCCGCATTAGGTGAGCTGGAGTCCCACTTCTCTGTCTCTCTCCCTCCCCCTTCCTCTCTGCCCCCATGGGATTCTCTCTCTCTCTCTGCCCTCCTTCACTTTGCCCTCTCTTTCTCTCAAAAAAAAAATTCATTTCCTGTTATGTGAAAAGAAAGAAAAAGAAAACTAAGGCGAATAAAGACTGACCTACAGAGGATTATATGGGGCAAAATCTGAATTGCATCCCAATGGTTTTTGATCCAAATTCTCGTCTCTTTGCAATATACCAAACTACCTCTTGCATTTTTTGACCCCCTGTAGGATATTAGCTCTTAGGACCCAGTTAAGAAGTGCCTGGCACATAGTAGATGTTCAAAAATATTTTGCTGAATGGACGAATGGATGAATGAAGCAAAGTTCCCAGCCTTGTGATCTGCTGGGGAACACAGTTGACTAGGGGATGTAAACGTGTGAATACACTGACTACAATTTGATGTGGTCAGTGACTGGCATACGAGCCCAGTGCTATGAGAGCACAGCATAAAGAATTCTTTGTGGTCATTTACCTGGTTAGACGTAGAGGCTGTGGCGGCAGATGAGGCTGGAGAGAGACGCAGGATCCAGATCCTTAAGGGCCTTGTTACCACTTTACCCATCACATTGCACCCTTTTGTATCCCAGAGTGGTGGAGATGCTGTTCCTGGGGTGATTTAATCCTCACAGCACCCATTAAGATAAGTGCTGTTATTGGGCGCCTGGGTGGTTCAGTCAGCTAAGTGTTCCACTCTTCATTTGGGCTCAGGTCATGATCTCATGGTCCATGAGATTGAGCCCTGCGCTGAGTGCAGAGCCTGCTTGGGATTCTCTCTCTCTCTCCCCCTCTCTCTCTGCCCCTCCCCCACTCACTCTCTATCTCTAAAATAAAATAAAAAAGGTAAGTACTGTTACGATTTCTGCGTCATAGGTGTAGAAACCGAGACACTGAGGGGTTAAGCGACTTGGTCACACAGGCTAGCGGATGCCATACCCGAGCTTTCCACCTTAGGCGGTTTGACTGTGGAGTCCACATCCTTAACCACTGTGCTGTGCTGCTTGTGCCGCTTCTGTTAGTACAGACCATGAACATCCAATACCGATACATGGTATCCCTCCATCCTAGTGCATGCAAATCTGCTAGCTGCATTTTATTGCTCTATATGGTTATTCCATATTTCATTTCACTGTCCTGATGGTCTTGTTTTCCAGTTTCTAGTTCTTTGCGATAATGGACAGCATTGCCGTGAGCGGTACTTACTCTCCACCCCAAGCTGATTGTGATACTCCCCCACAGGGGCACTCTTTTTTTTTTAATATTTTTAAAAGTTTATTCATTTATGTTGAGAGAGAGAGAGAGAGAGAGAGAGGGAGTGTGCACAAGCAGGGGAGGGGCAGAGAGAAGGAGAGACAGAATCCCAAGCAGGCTTTGTGCCATCAGCACAGAGTCCGATGCGGGGCTCGAACCCACGAACTGTGAGATCATGACCTGAGCCAAGATCAAGAGTCAGACGCTCAACGGTCTGAGCCACCCAGTCGCCCAGACCCAGTAGGATCACTCTTACCCTCTATCATCACTGTACTAAAGGATCTCTAAAGTTCCTTCAGGCCCGTCACTCAGTTCTGGGATTTGCAGAGCCATGATTCTTAATCTAGGAGTTCTGCGTGTTGCAGATTACTCAATATGGTAATTGACAAGGTTCATTTGGACTCATTTTCTGAAGATTGAAGGGCCTGGGTGATGTAACAGCTAGTATTTATTCAAGGCTTCCTATGCTAAGCACTTCACTAAGTACTTTACATACATGATTCTATGTAGTCCTCAACAGTTCTATGAGCCGTCTTATTTTTTTAATTAAAAAAAAATTTTTAAGTCATCTCTATACCCATCATGGGGCTCAAACTCATGATCCTGAAATCAGGAGTCACATACTGTACCGACTGAGCCAGCCAGGTGTCCCTATTGTCCCCGTTTTTAAAAAGAGGAGGGGTGCCTGGGGAGCTCAGTCTGTTGAATATCCGACTCTTGATTTCGGCTCAGGTTATGATCCCACAGTTTGTGGGATCAAGTCCTGCATGGGGCTCTGTGCTGACAGCATGGAGCCTGCTTGGGTGTCTCTCCTCCTCTCTCTGCCAGTCCACTGCATGGGCACACACTCTCTCTCTCTCAAAATAAATAAACATTAAAAAAATTCTTAAAAAAATAAAAAGAGGAAACTGAGGGTCCAAGAGGTTAAATGACTTGTTTATGGTCATGCAGCTAGTAACCAGCTGTTTGATTGCAAAGCTCATATTGCCAAGCCCTTCGTTTGCTGGGGCTGCTCTAAAAACACACTACAAAATTGGGAGCTCAAACCAACAGAAATTCATTGTCTCACAGTTCTGGAGACTAGAAGTTCAAGATCAAGGCGTCAGCAGCGTTGGTTCCTTCCGAAGGTTCTGAGGGAGAACTGGTGGTTGCCAGAGGGGAGGGGTTGGGGGATGGGCAAAAATAAATGAAGGGGATTACGAGGTACAAGCTTCCAGGTATAAAAAAAAAAAGTAAGTTATGGAGATGAAAAACAAAGAGAATATAGTCAATAATATTATAGTGTATCTCTATTCCATGGCCAGATTTTATTTTTTTTAGTTTTTAAGAAAAGTTCAAGCTTCTTTAAAATTTCTTTATCTTTTTGCAGCCTGAATTCAACAAAAGTAATATTTACTTCCTCTTCAACCACGTTGATATTACTATTGCATACCACGAGGACAGTGGAAGAAATGGGGGTTTTGCGAGATTGGTTTCTGCTAGACTTGAGCCCCAAAGGTAATTAGAGAATATCTTTTTTAATTAGCTCCATTAATTTAAAAATTAATTCAGAATATGGAAGTTCTCAACTAGAATTCTCATTTTTAGGATACATGTGTGATGTCACCTCAGACATACAATTTGAAAAATCAAATAGGCAATTTATTCCCTTCTGCCTGAAGTTAGCGTTTGAATACCATGTAATGTGAGAAAGAATTGACAGATCTGGAAGGGAATAGACCTACTGAGGGCATCCTTACTCTCTTCTTTACTTGCTGCCCTATGATAAAGAGCTTAGATTTCAATTTGTGCTTCTTCAGAGGACAGGTCTCTTACTGGAGTCTATTAGGCAGGTATCACCTGAGTACAAGGAAGACTCTACTAACAATTAGAGTTCTCTAACTCTAATTAAATAAGCAATCCCAAGAATTAATGAGTACTGTATCCCTGGATGTTACAGAAAGAGCCTGGATGACCCAGGTGTTGGAGAGTTCATAAGTAGGCATCCAGCACAGTGTCTGGTCCCTAGTATGTAAGTGCTCAATGAATTAATTGTAAAGGACATTGGGTAACAGACTCGACAGGCGACCTTTAATGTTCCGACTCTAAGATCCTATAGGATAAATTAGTTAGTACCCTTCCATTAAGACAGGTAGAGAAGGGACTATGGCACACAATGTATAAAATCATGGTCCATTATGGGAAAAATATACAAAACCTGAAATATTAAGATGAGCAAGTTGTCCCTTGAAACTTCCGTGAAGTATATTAAAGGAGGCACATGCGGTATGATTTTCTGAACACGGAGCAAGGAATTAGGAAATTGGGATTTTTAGTCTCATCTGTCCTGGTTCCATTTTGGAAGTGAACCCTAAGTTTGTAGAAATGAGTCAGACTTCATTATTTTTAAGGCTACTACCCTATCTTACTTTAGCCACGGCTGTTCCAGCTGTCACAGATGATGCTCAAGGATAAAGAATAGAGAATGTATCGTGCCAAGCTTTTGACCATGGGTAGGTTAACTTGATCTGTCATAGGCTTAATTTCCTCATCTGTGAAAGGACAGGGCTGAATTAGGAGTTTTTCACATGGCCCCTGATGTATCAAGCCCTGGAAATTTTTATTGACGTGTATTTTCCTGGGGAAAAGGATCAGGGCGTATTTTTTGAACAATAGGGAATAAACATAGCTACCCAGAGAGGCCAGGAAATACTCATCATTGTCAAGGGCAATCACCAGTGCTTTTTTTGTGTGTATGTCACTTCTGATATCTGGCAACAGACTTTTAGGACAATGGACTGTGAGGTCTATCTCAGGATGGCTGCTCATATTCAACGTCATTAGGTAGTAAACATACAAAGTATGATCATCCAGGAAGAAGCTAGTCTCATCAGCTATATGAAAATCAAACTTAAGGCTTTACAGTTATACCTCATATTCTCAGACTCAGAGTAAAAAGCCAAGAAAATGGTTTTTTAGAGTAGCATGTATCTAGTCATTGTAAAGGTCATTTTTGTGGGCCTCTTGAGAACGAGGACTGTGTTATAATTAATTTTTTTTTTTTTTTAGAATTAGACAATCTGTTCAAGGCCATAGCAGTGAGTTAGGCCTAATGGTGTTCTAAGCCTACCATCTTGTGTTGTCTTTTAGGTACTATACCCAGCTAATTTGCCTGATGGTTACCATGGTTGATCGTTCCTTTTTCCTAGAATCACTTGCTTAATTTGGCTTTGAGAATACCATACTTCACTGATTTTCTCCTGTCTCACTAGTTGCTTATCAGTCGTCTCCTCATTTCTCCAACATCTCAATATTGGAGGGTCCCGGGACTGAGTCTTTGAACTTTTTTTCTTCTTTATATATACTTACACATTGGCAGTCTTACCCTGTCTCCTGGTGTTAGAGCCCACATTGACTCTTTGATCTGTAGACTTGTATATGCAGCTGTCTACTTGACATGTTCATTTGGATGTCTAGTAGGCACTTCAAATTTAACACGGCCAGAAATGAACTTCTAATCTTTCCTCCAACCTGTTTTTCCTAGTGTCTTCTCCATCTCAGTAAATGGCAACTACATCCTTCCAGTTTCTCAGGCCCCCAAACTATGGCCACACCCTTGACTCCTCTTTATTATTCTTCATTCATACCCTGTATCCATGCCAATCTTTGGCAGATAACGTGGCTCTCTTCTTAAAATATATTCAGGATCCACCACCAGTTCTCATCACCTCCACCACTATCATCTGGTCCAAGACATCATTATATCTCAAGTGAATTAGGGCAAAACCCTCGCTGGTCTCCTTGGTGCCACCTTTGACTTCCAGCAGTCTCTTCTCAATACAGCTTGCAGAGTATTCCTTTTGAAATGTCAGCTCATGTCAGCCTTCTGCTCAGAATCTTCCAGTGACTTCCCATCTCAGAGTAAAAGCCAGTTTTGAAAATGGCCTACAAGGCCTTATACAGCCCACACGCAAGGCCAGTGGTTTAAAATAGGGCTTTTACATTGATTAGAGATCTTTTTTTTTTAATATGAAATTTGTTGTCAAATTGGTTTCCATACAACACCCAGTGCTCATCCCCACAGGTACCCTCCTCCATGCCCATCGCCCACTTTTCCCTCCCTCCCCCCCCCCCCATCAACCCTCAGTTTATTCTCAGTTTTTAAGA